TGGGAGAAGGCTTCCTGGCATGAAGTCCAAAACACTGGGCCCAGTCCCAACAGGCTGACTGGAAACCTATCACAAGTTCATTTTCAAAACCACAGTGCTAGTCATTTTCACTTGGAATACAGAGCTTCAGCAACACTTTCAGCATGCTGAGTCACAGCCCAGTGGTCCGGGTAATGCTAGTGTGCTCACGCTAGTACTACCCAAATGTAAAGGATGCAGCCGGGGATGTTCATGTGACTGTGCACAGATCCCACCCAGAGGCTCTCAGACCCCTTCAAAATCTCAAGATGTCTCAGAAATGTACCACATTAATTTCCATTTATCTACATAATATGATTTATTAGCATGTAACTTTATAAAAGGTTAATTGTTGTTAAAATAATAACATATAAAACATAGGCCTGCTGTTAAAGATGGTCGCATCACCCCCTCTAGCTCCGCCTCCCGCTGCTTCTGTCAGGATCAAACCATCACCACATACAAAAACAGGCACGACAAAGTGTGACTGAGGGAGTGACGGCAGTGCACGGTGAGGTCGGACCGACTGTCAGTAACGCCTGTAACGTCGCTGAACAGGACATCATTATTTACCAAACTGGCCTGAAGGAGAATCCGAAGAGTCTCTGGTCAAACACCAACTCATTGCAACAAAATGGCTGCTAGAGTCTGAGTGGTCCAGCACCGGGGTGCGGTGTGATATGATGACAGTGAAGGTGAGTTGACTGTGTCCACAGTGACAGCGATGGGAGAGAGGTATCAGTAGAAGTCGTGGTTGTAGTCTGTAGCCTCCATCAGCTGCTCCATCTCAGAGACGCTGTTGGCCAGGTAGGACGACAGCTCCTCTGCCAGACACACACACAGGGGTTTACATAGACTGCAGCAAAGTACAGAACTCTCATCAACAAACTGTTTCCATGACTACACTGAGTTCATTAGAGGTGCGACTGCAGAAAGAACCAGCCTGCCCTCCATGGAGGACCTGTGCACCTCATGGGTCAGATTTCTGCAGACCCCTCACACCCTGGACACAAACTGTTTGACCACCTCACTTCTGGGCAGCGCTACAGCTCACTGTATGCCAAGATGCCCACACAGAAGGATGTTTTCTTCCCCACCGGGCCGTCGCTCTGGTGGACACTTAACCCACGACTGTGTGACTGGACACAGCATCAGCCCGGTGCAGTAAACTGCAAACAGAGCTGCTGCACTTACCAGGCTGAACGCTCCCAGCCACAGTGCGTGTACCTCACTCCTCCCCATGTTGACTGCACACTGGATGGTTCTTATGTACAACACAGTGAGAGTCTCTGTACTGGAGGCAAATTGCTTGGATGCTCAAACACATTTGGCCATTAAAGTGATTCTGAGAAGAGGCTGCAGAACCTGCCTGAGAACCCTCCTGGTTCTGAGTTCCCTTCAGTGCCACAGTCACCGAGTGGCAGCTGGCTGCACATCCAGGGGGACGCTGTGACTGCATGTGGACTGACAGGGTAACATGGGGACCAGCCTGTGGCTGCATCTACACAGAGCGGTCCAAAGAGCAGGTGCAATCAGCTGCTCTGTCTGAAGTACCACTCACCTGTTCCCAGTACTCCCAGTACAGCAGAGGCTGAGACAGATCCCAGGGTGTTATGAGCTATGCAGCGATAGGTTCCTGAGTCCTCTGGCTCTGCCCCCTCAATCTGGAGCCAACTGGAGAGCTCAAATTTCAGCGGCCCACCACGAGACTGGGAGACAGACAGGAAACCAGACAGGAAGGTGGTTTGCCTCTTTTAATGGGCCCAGGCTAACGCCCCTGCCCCAGCCTTTGTGCTGTACCTGCACAGAGATGTGGGGGTCGTCTCCGGGCAGGATGGCGTCTCGTCCCTCCTTCCTCCACTCCACCAGGGCCATGGGGAATGCAAAGACCTCGCAGAGAAATGCCAGACTGCTGCCTGTCCCATTCACCTGGCTCTGAGGAGGAACCTTGATGATGGGCACTGAACGAGACACACAGGAAGCCGAGGTCAGGCTGGGTCACAGAACAAGGATGGCAGACACTATAATCACATAGAAGGCAGTGCATGTGAAGGGTTTCACAACTGAAGTGCCCACAAACCACAGCTGTCTCTCCGACTGAATGTTTGGTGTGTGTTTCCTCTGTTTAGACTGCTCCCTCAGCAGGCCCACGCACGACCTGTGCACCAAACCGTGGCTCTGGTGACCCTGGTTCTTCTGCTTTGACTTAGTCCCAATTTCAGTTACTTACCACATCCTGCTGTCTATCGCGGTGTTTTACCAACAGCCCCCAGATAATGGGTTGTAACAACAAAGAACCTTAATCATCAGTCATGAAAACGGTTGCCAGTCATTTTCATGATGTGTGCTTTAGCTGGCGCCAGAGTTTTCACCTCCTGAATCTGTGCGTCACTTTCCATTTCGGTAGAAATGTCTTTAGGAAAAGTGCTCACAGGTTTTTAACGCTTGCATTTAAAAAAAAAAACGTGTCTGGAAATGATGAGTGAGACCATAAACCTACAGGTGAGAGCAGACCGAGACAGGTGAGTCTAAAGGTAAACAGACAGGTGCACGGCCAGGTGCGTCCTACCTGTCTTGCAGGGTCCCCTTCCTCTGACCTGGAGCTCTGGTTTGGAGAACGCCACCTCTCTGAATTGACACATGTTCATGTATGTTGCTCCATCACTGCCGCACACTGCCTCCTGCTCCTCACACACACACACCTCCTCCTCCTCCTCTTCATCCTCTCCTCCTCCTCCTCCCGCGGGCCGTGGGTCCGCCTGACACCGCATCCCAGTCCCGCACAGCCCATAGGAGATGCTCCGGTCCCCCGG